TTGGTTCTCGGTTATTTTTCAAAGAAAAAATATAGAAGCGACGAGGACGAAAAAAATAAAAATAAAAACAGGTCTAGGCATCCTATTATAGGCTTAAATGCTATGGAATGAGCCATGAAGTCAACACAAAAGGCTGGGTTAAAATTTAAACATTGAATTTTGAACTTTTAATCAAACCACTGCAATGATAGATGAGAAAACTGTAACAACTAGGAAGAAAAGGACTTTCTTCAACTGTTGGGGGCAAAACATGAGCATTTTTCAGTTGATTCAGGACCAGAATCAAATTTTTTTTTGCAAATCAGAAAAAAACGAAGAGGCGAATCCGAGAACCAACAAATTAAATTGGTGTGGCCTGAAAATGAAAAAATAGTGTTTTGGGGGGTCAAGATGTCACAACTTTCCCAGAGGAGCATGCACCCAGACCCCCCTTGGATTCTGTGCTTGACATGTTGTGTCAAAAAAAGTTGAGATGACGGAAAAAAAAATTCAGGCTGGTTAGAACTCTGGTTTCTACTGTCTACAAACCTGACTTGTAAGGGTGATAACATCACTATAACATAGGTCATTTCCTCTGATACTAACTACAAAGGTTTGCTGTGTACTAACACTCTTCAGTCCCCATTCACGGTAAATATAGGGAATATCCGAATAATGCACCATCTGTCCACATGAAACAAACCTTGGCTGGAATAATCTGCTTGCCAAGTTTACTGGTTTAAGGAAAAGTGGGATGTGTGTATTTAAGGAACATACATTTTTGTACACTCATGGATTCAATTTCTTTGATGGGATCACTCACACAAAACTATTTTAAAGATTACGTTGCAGGTTTCTTGCACTGATTGTCCTTAAAATGTATAGTAACATACCATAGCAGAGATTATATAGCTGTTTGATGGCTCATATCAAAATCATTTTGTAAAATGTAATATTACATGTATGATCATTATGTTAAAGAGGGTCTTTTCAATTTTCGAGCTTGTTCAATTTTCAAGCTTGAAAATATGGCATTGACATACTAACCAAAGGAATGGTTTTGACATTTTCTATGCCAGGTGTGGTGGCACAGTTTATTTTTATTTTCCAGTGTGGTTTTTCTTGCCTTGGTTGTTTCTCTCAGATTAATAACATTATTCTGGTTGGTGCTGTGGCCTGTTTGACGTGTTGTGTTTGTTGTGTTGATCTCTCCCAACAACAGAGGGCAGTTCGACCTCGTCCGATAATTCAGAAACAGACGTAGAACAAGAGTTATCCGAGTTGCTGTCAGAGGGACAGTTACTAACACCCTCTTTGCCTGCCTACCCGTTAGGTGGGGCTCACACTGATCCTAAGGCTATTTCTAGATCTCCTGCACATTATAGTCTTGATAATACAGTTGCTGCTGATTCCTCTGACCCTATATACTTTCAGTCTCTTGATGACCAATCTAATGCTGGTGGCTTGTCTCTCAGTGACCAATCTAAGGCTGGTGGCTTGTCTTTTACGCCTGTAAGCCAAGGTGAAGTGGGGCATGAGAGTAAGGGTGCAGCTTCTCCGCCTTCTTCTAATGATAAGGAAAGCTCTTCTGGTGGTGGTAGGCGGTCACCGTCACTGAGCACTCCCCGCCCCGCTAGATCAGGCCGGTATCCTCGTCTTCAGGACATGCGCTCGAAAATCCTGCCAGAAAGGCTTCCAGGGGCTTACGAAAAACCACCCCCGTCACCAAGAATCAATCTCCAGTTCGGCCTACAAAAACTAGAGAGGCAGAAAGACAGAGAAGAGAAGAAAAAGGCATCTGAGAGACACAGCTCTTCAGAATCTGCTGCATCCAACCAAAGCAACCTGGAAGTCGATGTTCCAAACATACCAGAAGGGGAAGGGGCTGTCGTGTACTATCCAACGGTTACATGTAAGTCAGGCAACCTGCTTGTTACACCCAAGATCAGGTTTTCATCGTCTAAATCTAGTAAAAGTACAGAGAACATCAGCCAAGAAGTCAAAGAAGAGACGGACACAGTTAGTGTGATGCGACCAACAGTGTCAAGTCCTGATATCATGACACTAGGTCCAAACAACAATGATTATGTTGAAGGCAACATTGAAGAACAACCGGAGAGCCCTGTCAGCTATACGGAGAGAGAAGAGGAGCTGGAAAATATTCCAGACAGGGGAAGAATTCCTGCTAAGAGGGAATACTACTCACTGGTGTTTCAAGATGATCAGGCCAGAGTTGCAACAAATGCAGCGGTGACATCAAGAGATGTGTGGGCGGACGTTCCTAGGGGTTCAGTCTCGGATGCGAGCTTGAGTACGATCCAGGAGGAGAGCGAGTTTGAAGATCCGTACGCTGCCTCATGCAGCAGCCTTGACCTTCCTCAAGGGGAGATCTTTGCAGATGAGTCTAAAGAGGAGGTGAGGCGTAAACCGTACGGTGCAAGGTTCGGATTCAAGACTGCAGTTGATCCAGATCCATGGGTGGATTCAGTGCCAAGAAACAAAAATGCAGCAGGCGTTATTAGACCCAACTCATCGCAAAATGGACAATCCCGCCAAAGCGACAACCCTGCTGCAGTTGTTGAACCTCCCTTCTCAAAGACGTTGTTTCGACCCTTGTACTGCGCACCTCCTTCAGACATTGCGGAGAAAACAAACTCAAAAGCAAAGAAACTTTCACCATCGGGTGTGAACATAGAAAGTCCATCTGCTGTTGAGACGTCAACTGACGAGTCTTATGAACTGTTGTCCTCAAAAGAAATGTCATCTGCAGATGAAGACTTCAATGATAACATTGCAGACAAAACTTATTTTGAAGCAAAGACTGACTACATCCAACTGTTGTCTTGTGATTCTCAACATGTTGCAGAGTTAGTTGAAGAGATAAACAAATTTGACTATCACAAGGGAACCCGTCCATCTAAGTTCAATGAAGTAAACCCAGCTGACTTCAGAGATGCCCAGGAAAAAGCAAACAAAATGGATCCAGAAACTAGTACTGTTATAGATACAACCCAGACTGAACATGCTGAGATAAAAACCACTGAAGAACAAGCTGAAAATACATCTGTGAAGGAAGAAAGCCTGTGTCTTGTCAGGAAAGACACATCAATGGATACAAATGCTGCACACGCAGATGGTCAGAAGACCATTGCAGAGTGCGATGCTTCCGACACGTACATTGGACATCACAGTGACACAATTTTGAAAGAAGAACTATCTGGTAGTGAAGTTGTTGTTGCTGGAAATGCAAGCTCTTCAGCTGAAGTAACTTCCTCATCACTTAATGCGACTGAAGAATCTGATGATGTTGAGCAAAAAGAGTCAGGATCTGACGGCAATCAAAACCTTTCTGCCAAATCTCACGATTCCTCTCTGATGTCACCCATAGCTGAACTCACACGGAGAAATAAAAAAAGCCCATGCTCTTTTGACGAAGGCTTTTTGGTAGGAGACAATACTTTTGTGGAGGCAATTACAAAGGAAAGACCTAGAGATGATCATGTTAAAGAAAGTTTGACCCATTCCTGTTCTGTTGAACCTTATGGCTGTGAGGAGGCTGCTGAAGTGGAGTTACCTGACAACAAAGTTACACTTACGAGTGAAAAAGCTTTGTTGACTGTGACAGAAGCTCAAGTTGTCGCTTCTGATAATACAGAAGTTGATGTGGGTGAATCTCGTATTCACACATCGCCACATGAAGTGCAAATTCCTGCAGTATTTGTACAAGCAGTGACCAATAAGAATGATGATCTGGACTTGAATGATGAAAACCTGTGCTCCATGAACAGTGCTTTGGAATCACAAAGTGAAGATTCGAAGGAAATTGTAAAGAAACCTGATATTGAAGTGGTTTACAATGAAACTCAGGCTAATGAGTCTTATAACACAGCAGAATTGGAAAAAGATGCAGTAGAAGAAAGATTTGTGAAAGACTGTGTTCCAGATGTTGACATCAGTGCTTACCAAGTAGTCGTGGAAGAACGTGACTTAGAGAGCAGCACTGGGAGTGTCTATGTCAGCACTGAGAGTTACTTTGTTCAAACTCCATCCTATGAAACTGCACCAGAAGAAACTGGTATAGACCATGATTTATCTTTGGAATCTGACATGACCTCTCTTACCATTGCTGGTGAGAAACACAGTTGCTCCGACAGTGCTCCAAAAACAGAAGAAAGAAGTTCTCCTGTTCCTCGGCCAGATAGCCCAGTGGTTTGCGTCGAAACCATTTTTCCATCCAGAAAGAGGCAGCAGGAGAAATCAGAAAGTGATCCTGTTGAGAAGAAGAAACGATTTTCCTTCTCGAATCTCAGGCATTCCTTCAAGCGGTCAAGAAAGGGTACCGGCAGCCCAAACTTTCCCCCCAAACACAAACGGTCCACTTCTGCTCCCTCCTCTCTCCATCTTGTGCCTCCCGCTCCCCTTGGCCTCTCTGACACACTGTCCTCTGACACTGGTAGTAGTCCCCTGTGTACCCCTGTTTTTGAGAGATTTTTCCTTTCACTTGGTACAGGAATGGAAGTGGATGGGGGAAGCTACAGGGATCCGCACCACTCAGAGTCTTCCACACCGTACAGAGTGAAGGCTGAGAAGGACCAGCGTAACCGTCACAAAGTTGAGTCAACACACGAGCATGACCCATATGCTGTCCCGGCTAATAAAAGTGCCGTGGGAGCGGCCGTCGGTAATCGGCACCGAAGGTACACCCCTAGTAGCACAAGTGGCTCTGACCTTGTCGAGGTGACTCCACTCTCAAGATCTCAGATGGCTGACTCGCCACACTATTTTGGTGCAAACGGCCACCGTCGTTTTTTGGAAAAGGCCGACCTGCCATCGGAATCTGAAGAAGAAGATCCTTACGCAGCCGATAGTCCGGCGACGCAGAGAAGCGCTGTCAAAAAACGTCTGACAGCTGATGTAGACCTGGTGTCAGAATCTGAAGTTGAAGACCCGTACGCAGCAGAGAGTCCAAACCCTGTCACTCCTAGTGTTCACAAGGGCGCAGCCTTGGACACAAGTGCTTGGTCTGACACGCCAGAGGCTCTGTCACCCGAGAGCACGTACAGGAGTCGATCCTTCCAGTCTGACACGGAGAGTAACATCAGCAGGCGCAGCAGATCGACAACACCCACAGGTGCTCGCAAGCAGGTATTTCGACGGCTGATTTCCAGAACACCGTCTGGCAGGCTTAAAGACAACCCTGCTCTGCTAGAAGCTTACACCAAACTCACTCAGTCTCGGGGGCGCTGTAAGTCTTTTAGTGGCTTGTCTGACTGGTCCTTTGATTCCTACCCTGCCTCAGAGGTGGGGGCAGCCTCTGAACCTGGAGGTTATTATCATTCTTCTCGTTCTACCCTGACTTCGTCCCGTGAAGCTGTCCGTCAATCCCGTGCTCGCTCCTTGGACCGTGCACAAGCTTTGAGGCACAGAGTTTCCCCTCCCGTCTCCCCTACTAACACTCGCCAGTACAGAACAGCATCCGAGGAAGAGCTGGGCCGCCCGACACTATACGCAGGTACACAAGTACATGTACAACAATTGGTGTGGTCGTATCAAGGTTCGTGGTTGGAGGAAAGGCAAAAGTTGAATCGGGATGACCCTCATAACCACTCAATGTCTTCCATAAGAAGTTTACCAGTAACTTTTCTCTTATCAGTTACCTAATATCTTAATTTGGTGGTGGTTACTATTAGTAAATTGATTTCAATTTTGTTCTTACTTGTGCATGGCATCCCCTTTGACTTTTGTTGTCCTTCATTTTCAAATGCTTACCTTACTTCAAGTTGATATTGTTATTGTTTTGTTTTGTTTAATTTTCCATTATCATGTTTTATTGTCACCTGACAATACATGTAACGCCATCAAGTATTTTACTTGGTATGTCTTTTTTCAACAATGTATAATGTGTATTATATTGAACTAATTCATGATTTTATGATTATGTGATGTTGATTTGTGTTCTTCGTGGTTTCTGATGTTGTTTGTCCTATGGATTCTTGACTCACTTGCTTCTTTATACTAAATTTTGTCATCACATGAAAAGAATTAAGATCATGTTAATGAGATTTAGTTTAAGGTTGAGCTTCCAACATTCCTGAAACTTTTGTTGTCTTTCATTTGTTTTGTCTTGCCAGCCTCATGTTCTGGAAAAAGAGCTGTAATTCTTTTGTGGTCTCACATGTGGATTGTACACTTGTTCTGAGCCTTTCGTCCTCTCTGAATACATTTTGTGGTCCCTGTCAGCAGGGTGAAGATACACATAGCTGGAGGAGCTGCTTATTCCAAATCCTGATTCTTCATTAATGTTACACTGCCTTGGGTCTTCTCTCTTTGAAATCTGTCCTTTATTATGACATCTTGAAGAGGGCTTATAGTAGGTGATTGTCGTATGTTGCTGCAGGCTGTCCCACAAAATTCAGTGTCTAAATTACTTAGAGTCACATGAGACAGACCTTTGGGGCATGGAGACTGGAATAATAGTTTGCCAAGCTAAGTACACATAGTCACAGACACTCTCAAGTGAGTCCACAGTAACTGACAGTTGACGTTTAAACAGAATTTTGGATGTATTATAGCTGTGAACCCTGAGATTGTGTAACTTAGTCTTTCATGTCATTGGGGTCAGCTAATTAACGTTACATAGAGTTACATATCCCCTGGCCTAGTCTTACCTGTAAATATATTTTTACAAGAGTCAGGGATGCAAGAGTCAGTTGAAACACAGACTGAATATAAATTATCTTAAAAGTTTGTATGGCTGATGACCTTGTCTATAGTCTTCAGATAGAACACAGTTTTACAGACTTCAACAAGCAGGGCAGAATGTATTGGCTGTAATTTACTATCCAGAAGTTGAATAAGTTGTTATACATGTAGTATTCAGGTGGCATCCATTGGACAATTAAATGTTGGACCATTAGTCACAATGGTCCAACTACTGGATAGTAAATTACAGCCAATACCTTAGTCTGCCCTGCTTGTTCAAGTCTGTGAAACTGTGTTCTGAAGACGACAAAGCCATCGGCCATACAAACTTTTAAGATAATTTATATTCAGTCTGTGTGTCAACTGACTCTTGCATCCCACAAAACAAAATTATAGCATCTATGAGTCACAATGGTCCAACATTTAATTGCCAAGTGGATACAATACTGAATACTTCTTCAACTACTGGATAGTAAATTACAGCCAAATATATTCTGCCCTGCATGTTTTAATCTGTGGAACTGTGTTCTAAAGACTAGACTGTAGGCCATACAAATTTGATGTCTTATTAACAGGTGTTTTACTTTTAGTGGGAGAATACAAGCAAGGTGTCAAAAGTCGTTTCAACTGGTAGTTTGACTTCTCCCTAATACTACTAGCATGTGACTGGTTAGGTAGTCATAGGGCCTTGAAAGATTTAGTCATCAATTAACTGGACAAAAGACTATTTCTCACTGCCTTAAAGGCATTCCCGTGGATAGCCCCTACCGTGGGAATAGAGGATGAGTAGGATTTATGGGCTGTCCATAGAACAGGCAAACATGCCTATAGGGCATTCATTATGTAACAAAGTATGTTGATGAAGGTAAGACATCCAGGCAATGAGATACACAAGAAAACTGTTACTCAAGTAACTGGTGACAGAACCTCCCTGGTTGCTTGAGTAACTGTTACTGTACAGTTTTCTTGCATATTTCTGTAGCATAGTCTTTGCAGATAATGTTTTGTCTTGCTTTAGAATTTATATTGACAAACATATACAGTACACAATCTTATCTTACTTTTACTTTAAGATACTTTTTTTATAACGCTGTATAAGATCAGGATAAAATGGGAGAGCAAAATGACACATATTTAAGATACAAAGTGTATATAGACCTACTGTGTAAGCTTTATTTTCTTTCCTACTTTATGTGTTTCAAATGTCTGTCATTATTATTCCGTAACTGTCCACTAAATGTGCTCAACAAGTTGCTGGAACAGTAAGTCCTTTATTCTTCTGTAGTTGAGTGAGAAGAATTTGGTATCCAGTGGAGATAATGAGTGTTGATTTGTGTTGTGGAGCAGATGAGCCCGATAGAAGAGCAATCAACGCGACGCTGCCCCAGGGCACCCGTGCTGAGGTGGACGTACATCATCATCACAACGAGGATCGTGTGAGCAGGGCACACGGCACCCCCCCTGCCAAGAACAGGTCCATCCCTACTGTAGCTGTGGAGGATAGCAAGGAGGTGTGTAGGGGGACCTGGATATTTTGTCATTACTCGTCATATACCTTCACTAAGATTTCACTACAACCTGATTTACACACAGGAAAAGTACATAGTTTTGTACCGTCAGGTTTCTACCCATGTGTAAATCGGGTAAAAGAGATCATTGTGAAAATAAAACAACTGCAAATATTTCCCAATTTACAGTATTCGATTGACAACAAACCCAAAAATGCAGAAACTTTTATTAGAATGAGTTGTCCACATTTAATGAGAGAGAAAGTAATGAAAACATCAATGAAAATTCTGCATTGAGACAGGATAGGGGGGATGAAAGACACAATGTTATATGTACATGTCACTGTTATGGCTTACTTCAAAAATATGCAAATCAAAGTATATGCTTTCCTTCGCAACTCAAGAAAAGTCCTGTTCCTCTCTGCATTGTCCCTGATGTTCCTACCCCTTCTCCTACAGATAACCTGGTATCCGTCATTTCGTTACCTTGAAGAGTTTATGTACATGTTACCATTATGGCTTACTTCAAAAATATCGAAATCAAAGTGTATGCTTTCCTTCACAACTCAAGGAAAGTCCTGTTCCTCTCTGCATTGTCCCTGATGTTTCCTTTCTACCTTTTCTCCCACAGATAACCCGGTATCCATCATCTCGTGACCTTGAAGAGTTTGAGGATGAGGACATCGATGCGTATGTCAGACAGTATGGCAGTGGTAGTGAGAAGAGCGCCAGCGGGAGTCAGAGAGGAAGTTCTCTGGGCGCCTCCATGTCTGTACGTCTGCGTATCAATACTTCAACATACACCTAAAGGGTTAATCTCCAAGCAGATCTGTTTGGTGGCTGCAAAGACCTTTTCAACTTGGCCAGGCAGTATCCATTTGCCAGACAGTATCCATTTGCCAGACAGTTACTGTATCCATTTGCCAGACAGTATCCATTTGCCACCCCGTTTGCCTGGCATACAAAAAGATACCAGTATAAGAAAGAGAGCTCGAGAAAAATGCCTAAAAACTTGCCAAAAATAAGCCAAAACCAAAGCCTCTGCGAAAAGCAGGCCTTAGAATTAACTTTTTTTTCTATTGTCCCAGCACTGTCCTGAAAATAAATTTCAATTGTCCCGAAGTGAGGATGAACTGTCCCAATGTGTTTTTCAGGAAGTGAACTTGAAGTCAACAGGAAATTTTGAGGAGCCTTTTCCAGAGCCAAACAAAAGAAGGGCTGACATTCTGATGTTATTTTTCTATTTGTCCCAAACTGTCTTTTTAGTTGTCCCAGCTTAAATTTTAGTGGTCACTGGCCATCGGGACACCGTTAATTTTGAGCACTGACCTAAAGGGCTCACTAGCCTTACCTGTAATACCATATCTTCAGTCAGACTCTAGCCAATAAGCCAATAAGACTTAACACCACTGCTATCATCCACTTTTAAGACATAATGCAAGTTTACAGCCCTCTGAAAGATGCTATCTAGATACTGTCCTTTCATGAGTAGTGATTACATATAACAGACCATGTGTTGAGCGCTCTTCAATTTAGAAAAGTTGATGCAGTGGTTAAGAGATAATTTACAGTGACTAAAAGGAATCAGTAAACTTTTTAATGTCCCTCTGGTTTTAGAAAGGCTGATAGTTGAATGTACATGTATTTGGTATGTAAGTGGTAAAATGGAGTTGCACATTGTATCTCCAAGCCCCCTTCAGAAAAAGCAATTTTTAGGCATGAAGGAAATGTATATACAATGTACCTGATGTTTGTTGTTTAGTTAGGTAAAAGGAAAAATGGTTACTTAGTGCCCTGTAACACCATACCAAGGGGCAAGTTTTCTGCCTAACTAGTACACTGGATGAAAATTATACACTGTCTGGTGAAGTCTTTGCTCCATATGGTATAATTCAGGATGTGCAAATACCCATGGTTTATTCTATCCTATTAGGCACAATTGACACAATCTTGTGTGTACAAAACCAATACTTACCATATAAGTGGTCTAATTTTAGAAATACAATATATTATATCCTGCCATGCATGATGATAAGGAGACAAATGTATTTGGCAAAAAATTATATTGAGGATTAAAATATTGGCTTAATGTCACGTCTGTAAGTGATAAAAATCATATGACATTCATAAAATGATTTTTCCAGATTACCTTTAGGGCAGCAGAGAAAGTACATCATATCATGAGTCACACAGTCAGTAGATTGGCATAAAGCCAGATTTTCAATGGATTGAAAGATACACACAAATCCTTTGGCTTATGATATTCATATGGGTGCTGATGCTACATGTACATGTAATCTAGTACAACAGATTTCAAGAGTCTCAATGTTGTAGACAGATTTGAATATATCTTTACATGTAATGGTTCCCACAACGCAAAAATAGGTACTAGATATATAAAGGAATGCTTTGTTATTAGAAAAAAAACTTGTGATTAGCCCACTCGATTGTAACACTTTATCAAAGACTTGTGCTAGCCCTTACTGTTTGAATAATCAAGATATGGTAGGTTTTATTCGACATTAGGTCTTATCCAACATTTATTTTATTGTTTGTTACTCTCTTTATGTAGTTTGCCATACATACCATGTGCAATTGTCGTGTAATAAAGTTCTTCTTCTGTAATAAATTATTATGTTGTAGGGAAGCAGAGAGAGTATTATGAGTTACTACAGTGATGCAGGAGATGGGTACTATGGGAACATCGAGATCACTGGAGACATCCTGCTGTCACTAGACTACAACTTTAAGAACATGGTGCTGGCTGTTCACATTAAGAAGTGCCGGGATTTGGCTGTCGCTGATGAGAAGAAGAAGAAATCTGATCCGTAAGTTTTCTTGTTCATTAGTATCATTACTATACTCACTCACTCACTCACTACCTGGTTTATCGTCTGTAGTTCCCCGTCTTCCAAGGGTTAGACGTGCTTGCACTCTGATGCTGAGGCTTGATGGCAGCCCGCCACTTGCCTCTATCCTGTGGATAATTCTACATTAGAATTAAATGATAACCTGTGCAAAAGCAGTGTTGATTCTGATGATTTGTGTCCATATCTGACATCTGATCCCTTCTCTTGGCTTGACTTTTCTGATGAAGATTTCGAGGGCCTTTTCCTTTTCTGATGCAGGCTCGCTGGGGGATGACATTACGCGACATTAAGCCACTTGGACACAGTGGCTCTTGTTCTTGTTTGTTTGCCGGAAAATACATCATATAGTGGTGGAGTGAAAGTGATGGAGTGAAAGATACCTTATACAGAACTAAGTTATATATGTCTATGGCATTGATTAAAAGCTATCTAATGAACTATAGCATTATAACACAGTCAGAGAGAGAATTGCCTGTCGAATCAGTTAGCCTAAAGTTCTAAAGGTGTAAAAAGTTTAACTTCATGGATGTGTATTTTGTGAAATACAAATATTTGTTCCCACCCCACCCCCTCCCCAGGTATGTGAAGACCTACCTTCTGCCTGACAAGACCAAAAGTGGCAAGAGGAAAACCAAAGTCAGGAAGCACACTAGCAAACCCACCTATGATGAGGTCCTCAAGGTGAGGATGACAATATGACATATCCTTACAGTATACCTTTATAATACCTTATAAGGAGAAGGAAAACTCTCCATGTAACAGAAGAAAACTGCCATGGCTCTTGGTTTACAGCCTGTGTGTAAGAAAGCAGGACCAGTAACACATCATGTAACTGTAAATTTCATAATTATATACTTTGAATTTGAAGTGGTTTTATCACACAGTAGGAGCTTTTCGCTGACTGTTATACATTTTGCAGTTGAAACAATTCTGTACCACAGTAGTCATACTAGCGAGAAGTCTTCATGACGTAAATTCATGTTAAAGCAACTGCCACAAAAACTGAGAAAATAACATCACAGCGAAAGTTTACAATATGACAGTACAACATGTGAAAATGAATACTACACAACATGGATGATTTTCTCGTCCTTTGCAGTATTCCATCAGCCCCAGTGAGCTGGAGACGCGGACCCTGTGGGCGTCGGTGTGGCACAACGACATGTTTGGGCGGAACACGTTCCTGGGAGAGGTCCACCTGCCGCTGGACAACTGGGACTGGGATGACAGGCAGGCACGCTGGTACCAGCTGCAGCAGCCTGTAGTACCGGTCAGTTCCAACAGATGGCGTTCAATCATAGTGCCAACATTGGGGATTTCTGTAATCTCCAAGCAGATCATGATGGTGGCAAGGCAGTGCCCATTGGCCAGAGGAGTGTCTATTAGCCATCATACAAACTCCTCTGGCTAATGGATACTGTCTTGCCAACGAAATAGATCTGCTTCGAGATTAAATTTCCGCACACTATATTACATAGTGCCAACATTGGGGATTTCTGCACACTATTTTGGCTTCAATTGGCTTCTGTATGAATTTTGGCTATTTTGGCTATCATTTGGCTTATTTTGGCCTCATGTACATGTACTTTTCCACTTCTCCTAAATGTCTTTTTTATTACACAGCATTCTCTTTTACTGAAAATTGCAGTCATGAACATTCAATGTATTTTTGACATGATGGTGACACAGCTGGATCGACCAATATTTTTGCTCCACCTTTTGGTGTTACTTGCATCGCTGATTTGCTAAATGTTTTTCTTACTTGTAAACTCTGATGTACAAAAGGTCAGGCACATCAATGACATGACTGCATGTATCCTGTCCCTTAGGCTTACTCCTGCTTTCATCATTCAATTTCTCTTCACTGCATCACATATATATGTTCACTTCTTCCATTTCTCTACTTTCTTCCATTTCTCTACTTCTGTCTGTGCCATTCTGTCCATCACTGCTCTGTCTCTATCTCCATCTGTCTCTCCATCTCTGGGCCTTCGGTCAGGGCAGGAGGGAGGCTCAGAATATTCCATTCTCATATGAGGGGAGATGAACCACAACTTCAGACAACTTGATGTAAGCTATAAGACTGCGTAGTACTGACATACTTCAAGGCTTATGATTTTTGTTTGTTCAAATCACCCCCAAAATATATGGCACAGTCTGTAAAGTCAAGATTTCAAGGTCTACAAACTGTTTTAAAAGTTGACAAACAGATGCCCTCTGTCTTTTCATTTTCTTTCTCATCACTGTTTTTCATACAGAAACATACCCATACCAACATACAGAACATTTTGTACCACAAGCCTGTCCCTAGCAATTGCCTATCCTACTGCAATATGAATGAAGACTGAGACAATATACAAAATACATTCTTTTTTTTTTTTTCATTCACCATAACCATTTAACAGTTTCATGCAAAGAGAGATGTAAGATATTACATGTAGATGGTTAAGTCACAACCAAAAACACTGGACACAAGTTTAAAGGACAAATAAAAAAAAAGGTAATTTCAGTTTTGGTGCCTTTCAACCCAAAATCCTATCTGCAATAGGTGATCCATTGGTTTCTACCAGTCCCGCACATATACATTGTAGGGGTGATATTTGACCCAAATCCACATTTATGTTTGATGACTGGCTATTCCACCAGGAGGCTGCAGTGAATTAGGTTAATAGGACCCATTCCTGATGTTATCAAACGTGAATGCAAATTTGAGTCAAATATCACCCCTATGTGTGCGTGACTGGTAGAAACCAATGGATCACCTTTTGCAAATAGGATTTTGAGTTGAAAGGCACAAAAACTGAAATTAATTTTAAATTATTAGTCCTTTAAGAGGCTTGAGGACCTGAAAAGTTTGTCTGTTGTCCCCCAGGCTGGTCCAAAGTCGACCTTCCAGCAGTACAAGGGAGACCTGGTCATCTCCATGAAGTACGTCCCATCTTACAAGCTCCTGGGAGGGGGTGGTGACACTTCCCGGAAGGGCCGGCGGAAGACCAGTCCCGACCGGTTGTCGCAGGAGGCTGGGATGGGAGAGCTGCACGTCTTCATCAAGGAGGCTCGCAACCTGATGGCAGTACGGGCAAATGGGTCATCCGATCCTTTTGTTAAGGGGTGAGTGTTAATGGTTACATATGTCTTGTTTTTGCTTCTTTATACATTGTAATATGATAAGTAGACAAAAACAAGCTTCATTGTCTTTTGAAATCTTAATACTTCTAATGTGTTACTGCTTGTGAAACACATTTAGCTACACCAAGGTATAAACTGACCAAAACCCCTACCACAACAATTGTATTATCATTACATAGTGACTTTACTAGTACCTGCACTGTAGTGATAGCAGAATGCAATTGTAACATCATGAACTACATGTACAGTACTGTATATCATCATCATCGTCCAGCTGCTGTGCAGTGCAGTTAACCATTAGTTGTTTCCACGATTGACAATCTGTCTCCAGGTCAGCAATGTCTTCCCACTGCAAGTCACTCTCAGTGTCCCACAACAGATTCCAGATATAGCCCAGGGTGACAGGCTGACACCCAGTGGGTGCCTTTTGCTGTGCGTGGGCATATACAGGGTATATGGCATGGTTCCCCCACAGGCATTCTTAGTACATGCTCCAGGAATCAAAGTTGATGCTGCCTTACTGTGGTGATGAGGGTTGAGTGTTGTTCATCTTGTGGTCTAAATGCTAGATGTTAATCATGATCCTATAACATGAACTACAATGATGTGCATAGTACATGTTTGGAACTCTGACTAAACCTCCTTAAGTGTTTTCCCTGATAAACTATACTATCATTCTGTACCCATCCAGCTACTTGCTGCCAGACAAGAGCAAACAGAGTAAGCAGAAGACCCCGTACATCAAGCGGAACTGTAACCCGACGTGGAACCACACGTTTGTGTACAAGTCTGTCAACCCAGAGGAGCTGGAGCAGCGCTGTCTGGAGCTGACCGTCTGGGACTACGACAGGATGACCAGTAACGACTTCCTGGGAGGGGTCAGGCTCAGTCTGGGTAAGGAGATAGTGTCACGTTTGAAGCATATGATATTTACAGTGTTCTAGCCGATATGTTGGCAGAATGTACTGTGTCTGCGCAAAACCCGCAGTTTTTGTCGGATTTTTGGTCAACGTTGAATTAGAATTTTGCCTGTTGTAGACAATATCTTTTCTGACATAACATTTGGAAACTACAGACGGAGAGTTAATCTTATATCCACGAATACGACGGTCTTATATAACATCTGTGTCCATAATATCACCAGGGTCCATAATATCGCCACCTTGAGAAATAGTGTGCTTAAAGATATTTTTACTGCAACATACCCTAGGTATGTACATTTGATGTGTGAAGGAGTGCATACCAAAAGTATGTTGCAGTAAAAATATCTTTAAGCACACTGTTTCTCAAGGTGGCGATATTATGGACCCTGGTGATATTATGGACACAGGTGTAAAGACGTTGTGCCGAAATGCTATGCACAATACATTACGGGTTTTGCACACATACATTTTGCTGTTTTCATACAAAAATTGGCATGTGAAGATATGGAAAGAGATGTCATTAAACAACAACTAACCTCGTAAGAGTTTCAGAGGGTCAAGATGTCAACATTTTCCTCCATAGGATCGCGCCTTCGGTGATCAACATGTAACATGATTGAAATTTGAAAGATATTCTAAACAAAATTGAAACAGTGGTAAAATTTTCAGGCTAGCTAAATAGAATTTATTTTCAGGCTAGCTAAATAGAATTTATAATGAGATATAAAGATCTAATGATAAAAATATCCTATTGTCTTGGAATCCTATTATCACTTTCTCAGTAATCTTTCTGGCTGTTGGCTACTGTTCCTCCTTTCTGAACTTTAGATTTCTGAACTTGAACTGATACCAAGTAACAGTGCTTTCTGAAAGCTGCATGGAAGTTTTTATTATTCTATAAAACCGATTCTCAATGTGTGTGTTGCCCTTGCTGTGTGGGATTTCTGTGTGTCTTTTCTCATACTCTGTTCTCTCTTCTTTGTGCATTCTTGTGCTGTTAGGGAGAGTCCATGCCAAGTCTCTGGTCAATTTCAATACTAGTTTGGAAGGTCTGTACAACTGTTCTGCACCTCTTTTTTTACTTACCAGCTTTCTAAACCTGTACGGTGTGCAATGTATGTATGTAGTATCAAAGCTGCACAAAATTTACTACTTAGTATCAAGGCTTTTATTTTAGGAATCTGTCAAAAATGATGTAGCTGTTTTATGACAGTATATAAGCATCTAAGATGTGAAATATTTCAAAACCCTTTTTTTAGTTTTGTTTTTCACACATACTGTGACAAAAGCAAGGATCTTGTTCATATAGACAAGCACCTGTTACCTAAACTAATGAAGCAACCACCTGTTACCTATACTATTGATGCAACCACCTGTTACCTAAACTACGCATGCAACCACCTGTTACCTATACTATTGATGCAACCACCTGTTACCTAAACTACTCATGCAACCACCTTTTACCTATACTTTTGATGCAACCACCTGTTACCTAAACTACTCATGCAACCACTGGTTACCTAAACTATTGATGCAACCACCTGTTGCCTAAACTACTGATGCAACCACCTTTTACCTATACTTTTGATGCAACCACCTGTTACCTAAACTACTCATGCAACCACTGGTTACCTAAACTATTGATGCAACCACCTGTTACCTAAACTACTCATGCAATTACCTGTTACCTAAACTACCCATGCAACCACCTGTTACCTAAACTATTGATTCAACCACCTGTTGCCTAAACTACTGATGCAACCATCATTGGTAACAGGTGGTTGTGTTTGATGGTTGTGTTCGTACCATCAGGTTTTTGCCCATGTGTAAATCAGGTCTGTAGCAGGGGCTCTTGTTCACATACCGGTTTTGTCATGACAGGAAACCGGTTGGGACAGCCCATCGAGTGGATGGACTCGCAGGGTGAGGAGATCACAGCGTGGCGGACCATGCTGAACAAACCCAACGTCTGGGTGGACAGTTGTCTTCTCTTACGCCCCAGCATGGACTACAGGGTCCGCCCATCTACCCCAGCACCTTCAACAACCAGCTAGCCAACCTCAACAACTAGCTAACCAACTTCAACAACCAGCTAACTAATGTCAACAGCCAGCTAACCAACCTCATCAACAACTTCAACAATCGGCTAAGCAACCTCAAAAACCAGCTAAGCAACCTCAACAACTTGAACAACCAGCTAGCTAACTTCAACAACCAGGTAACCAACCTCAACAGCTTCAACAACCAGCTAGCTAACTTCAACAACCAGATAGCTAACCTCAACAACTTCATCAACAACCAGCTAGTCAACCTCAACAACTAGCCCTCCCCCTTCAACAACTGGCTAGCTACCTTCAACAACCATCATCTAGCTCTAGCTTCTGAGATTCGATCCCAGAAAACAACTTCTCAACAGCTTACTAATAGCTTCCCGGCTATTGCGGTAAATTAGACGTGTATTCTGTCACCTTAACATACAGACAAGCAGTCACTTTACCAAATTTCCTCCAATGACTGCATTGGATTGTTGTTTGACACCAATTATCCCTTTTTGGGGGGAGGGGGCAGCGCTCTTTAGGCCTGCTGGGTAGGTAATAGCAAACAGACTGGACTTGTACAATTGTACCATCATATACAGTTTGAAATGTTCTGAACCACGTACTAGTACAGGGTGCTCACAGGAGAACTAAAGCCTGGTTGTCACTCCACACTTGGCCTCTGTACTTGCAAAACATTTTTGACAGTTTGTAATAAATAGTTGAGGTTTGGTATAATAGAATAGAATTGTTGATTGAGCTGTGATGGGACAGCCTTGTACATTGTATCCTGTTACTATAGCAATGTCTCAATCTTACAATGATTATGCAGTTCACCGTTCTAAACTTTGTACCAAATTCGCCAAATAAGCTGCCAAATATCCACTTCTTCCAGCTGAAGATATCTGCTTATTCTTGTGATTGGTGTTTTTTCAACTTAAAAAAAAGATGTTTTTGTATAAAGTTGTCTGATTGAATGTAAAAATTGTTGGCACCATAACCTCTGTTCCCTTCAGATTACATTTAAATGTATCTTGTCACTCAGTGGTTGAAAATAGCCTGGAAGAATAACAGAGCCCCCTGGCTCTAGTGACAGGCACTGCAGATTAGTGTTGTTAGTGAAGAGGCACTGCAGGTCAGCTTCAATGTTTTATCTACATGTTATATGAATGTAATTTGGTGCAGAGTTTGTTTCCAAGTCACTATTCTGTACTACCAGCTTATTATCCTGAAAACTTGCCTTTTCTTTATTGTCTTCCCAAAGCTGCTGTACAAGATGATATTCAACTGGTAGTAGTTTTGTCTTTTCTGCACAAAGTGTGCAGGAAGGTTTGTACATTTTCTCCCATAGAATATGTATATTCCTTTATGTCAATGCTCTTTAGCCCAAAAGGCTAAATATGATGACATTATTTGCACAGTGCAGCAAGGAATACTGTAAGGTTCCACCACGTACTGTTCTTACTACATTAACCTCATATACAACTCACAATTCACCTTTGAAAAGCATGCATACCTTTCCTAAGTTATATTTCTATTGAACCACTTTGTCTTGATACAACAATGTGAAATCCTTTTACAGCCGAAGCCTCCTTCAGTGTTGAACACTGCAAGTGCAAGCAATAGCAATGATGAAAGCAAGCTCATGAAACACTGAACTGTTGATACTAAGATCTATTGTTGTTGTGGTTAGATGTTGCATTCTTGCCAGATAACACCTTTAAACAGAGTAGTCAAAAAGGGAACTGGTATAGGATGATTTGCTTCCATGAGGTGAAAAAATTCACACGAAAACATTCACACAAAAGTTGTACAGGACTAGTACCGGTTTCAACATAAAGAGAGTTGTCCTGTTGGAACAAATTCTTTTGGAGACTTGTATTATCTTACCGTTAGTGTAAAGATGGTCATTCAGACCATTTTGTACATTTTGTAGATACAATGTATTGCTGGTGCTGTTGAATATCCAGACATCGACTTCCAAAAAAAATCTGGAAAAAGAAAATGATATCAACAATGCAAGATTGCCTCACAATGTTCAATTTCAGTATTTCTGCACAGTGAACATAATATCCTTTACCAGTGTCCAATTGATAAGTAAACGTTTTGTTTCAGTACTATACAGAACCATGAAGCTGTAGGTAGTAAGTATACATAACTACTGTTACCCAACAGTAATTCACTTGTTGACTTTATGTCATAAGTCAGCAACAGTTAGGAGCTATTCCAGAAAGGCAGGGCACTTGACTTCATTGAAAAAAAGATGACCATCTGTACATGTATCCATTTTTTCAATGACAGTCTTGTCCCCAGCCTTTTTGAATGCCCAGCTTAGTGCTGACTACTAGCTACAAGACACTATTTATTCCAACTTGCCTGTTCAGTATTTATTCCTACTTGTGTGAGACATTGTAATGTACCCCTATGTTGAGTGCCATAAAGTGCCTTCCTTTCTAAGGTCCAAAAGAATGGCAGAGTATTTTTCTAGCAAATAAACTGAGAGAAAAACAAATGGGGGAAAACTTTTTGAACTATCTTCCCCATGTGAATCATGAAATTTTTGTCTCTGTATTAGTTAATGGCAATATATGGAGGCAGAAACATGGTTCGCAAAGACTTACGTTCCACCACAATTAGTATACAAATGTACCGGGCAGCATGTAGATGTGTGTATGTGTAAATATAAAATTCAATATACTAACTAGTACTGGGAGATGCTATGCAACAGAAGTATAGAAAATTCCTGCAGCGGAGCTTAGATGATCAGTTATAGACTTAAGCTGCTTTTGAAATCTCTGAAGGGTAGGGAATTTATTAAGCACCTTGTACCAAGAGTGTTACAGAAAAAGATTATTGAAAGTGCAAAAGAAAACGCAGTGTCCGTTAATTACTTGTATGTCCGCAGCACCTACTGAAATGTAACGCACCTCCAGTGTATCCATATAGGCGGCTGCCAGTATATGACAACTAGCATCTCATTTGGAGAGTTGTGCATACGTACGAATGTATGATAGAGAGGATATCAGATACTGCTAAGAACCATGCCGTACCGTTCATGCCACTCATCTATTTTTCTAACATTTTATAACATCATGTTGCATGGAGGGATATTGTTGCACAGGCTGTACAAAATTTGTCTGCGTCGGCAAACATGATACTAAGACCATTCTTACTGTACCTTATACATGTTCAAAGAGCATTTGTTTTCATGACTCAAAGGTATGATACGATGACCCAAAGCAGACTGTTTGCCAATGTGAGCCTTGCTCGGTTCAATATCTCTGGTTGGATACCATTCACACTTTGTACAAGAATATTAGAAATGGGGGAATCGATGATATGAAGAATGAAAACATTGTCTGCCTGTATCACCCATGGTCGGATGGCTATAATCTATATATAGATACAAAGCAATAATGCCAAAGTGTATGTTACACAACTTCTAGAGCACAACCCATCTCTATGTAATGTCATGGCCATAGCATCTGATACTACCAAACCTGTGATGTCTATCTGGGACTTGCTGTGTTGATGACTTTACAAGAAACATGTCCCTCCATGTCTGCATTGTACAGGTGGCAAATGCTTCAATAAAACCCTTTGACACTGTGCAGGATTGTGTATGTGTGAACTTAATTTTTGTCTCATCTCAGTTCATGGCTAACATTACAGGTGTAGGACTAGAGTGAGAAAATTATTACAGTTTTAGCATGGAGGTAAATTTTACCTCCATGGTTTTAGCAAGTACAAAATTGGTAATGATGTTGATTAGGTATATAGAGTTGATCCAGCTGCAGTTCTTTAGGATACTGCTAGAGGTCACTGTTATATAGGAGGTAAGTCACAGTGTTCGATAACAGTTCAGTGGGATGTACAGAAACATTCGGTGTAAGAGGATCCGTTTTCCATATCAATTCATCAAGTCTTCTAGTGTTTAAGCTGAATACACTATAAACTGTCTGCATCTTAACATTATCTAATGCCTATACAAGTTCGCCATAATGTTTGACAAGGTCAGTCTTAATCATGACGATAATGCAAATGATAATGCAAAGCTATAAATTCATCATCCTTTGGTTATCTTCACGGTCTAGTCGCGCCACCTAGCGGGACGTATTCGATGTGCAGTGTATGTTACAGCCCTATTGAAAGCGACGCCTGGCCAATGTTGAAATAAACGTCACGTAACAACACGAAATATCGAGCTTTATGAAATGTGAATAAAAGAGTCACAATCAAACATGTGGTAAGACGCATACAAGGAAGAGTTTTTTTTTTAAATTTATTTGGCGAGTTACTTATATCTAGCGAAGAAAGGGGAATAAAATCGGACATAAAACTGGAAGAAAAGAGCGACCCGATAGGCAGCAGAAGACCCAATACAAGGTAATTTCATACATAGATATGATGCTTGACTGCATGTTACTTCTGAATTCATATGGTAAACAAACAAACAATCGTCCTTATTTCTAGATATTTCCATGTGAACAAAGTTTCCATCCGCCATCACAAATGTCTGCAGTCGACTATACGGAAACGCCACAGTGACAGTGTGCGGTCGTGCGAATAAAAAAAAGTTGCCTTCATTCTGCAGTCTAGGTGGTCATGAAGGTTGAACAAATGACTAAACACACAAAGTATAATATTTTATTGGCGTGGTGAATAATACACTCTTCATTTTCAGTCCTTCACGTTTCTTCTCTTCCTTTGGTTACTGCAGTTATTGGTCTCCATCTCCACCGTCACAATCGGACTTGCTCCCTCGTAGTGTCTGGTGCCGTAAAATGTTCTTTATATATTCTTTAATTTGTCAAGAGCTCGGCTGGGAGACTCTGTCCGAAAAGCGACACATTCATCGCCTATTACTGTTTCATAACATTGTGAACGGATGTACCTTTAAGTTACCGCTTAAGGCCATGTTGATTTGATTACATGAATGGCATCCATGTGCGCATGAATTTTCGTCCGTTTCCAAAAAAAAGTTTTGGTCCATACTGTAAATCGTACAAAGCAGTTGCATATGCCGCAAACTGAAAAAAGGAAAACATAGAATGCCAAAATCTATTCCAAAGGAAGAAAAGAAATGTGAAAGAATGAAAATGAAGATTCACCATGCCAATAAAATATTACTCTGTGTGTTTAGTCATTTGTTCAACCTTTATGACCACCTAGATTTCCTAATGAAGGCAACTTTTTTTTATTCGCACGATCGCATCAGTTTTGGGGTTCCCAGGAGATGTCATCCATATAATGAAATCAACATGGCCTAACTTAATTATCTAATTGAGAAAATGCAAATTATGGTGATACCTTATCAGGTGGTTAGACCCAGGTGTTAGACCACGCTGCTGCTCAGAGCAAGATGGCGAGTCACGGTGCTTGGACAGGGAAGAACTCGGTGGTTAAAATTCGTCTTTTAAAACGAGCTACGTCCGTTTAAGAAGGTGAGTCGCCTTTAACATTGTCCTCTATGTTGTAGTATTTGGGCCAAACTCGTTGCATTTCGTTGGGGTCGTGAGGCGCAACGACAGACCGTTCGGCTCAGAACCACGAGGTCCCGGGTTCGAACCCTGCCATGTCACCGATCTTGTGCCCTTGGGAAAGGCACTTACACGGCTTTCATGGATGGAGGCTTTCGCGAACTCCATCCGTATTAGCCACACAAAAAAAAGGCAGCAGTATCGTCTAGGTGGCAGCTCCACAATGAAAGACGAAAAAAGAAGAGAGGGAATGAAGGTAAAAGGCAGAATGGCGGGTTCGCGGGTTATGGCAGGGCGGCTTCTACCCTGGCCTTAAAAGCCTGTACGTACTGTCGGTGCCCTCACCACTGGGCCCGGCAGCTGGTTGCACTCGCTTTAATACCGTGCTTAAGCTTCATGTCCGATCCGTTTTGAACTACTATGATGACTGCATTAGATACGCTCGTTTCTTCCTCTGTTTTCTGAATTATTTACTGATATATATATATGCATTATGTAAGCTATCTTTTCCCATAATGTTCTGTCAATATGAGATGTGCTTGAATGCTGCTGAACTGATGTTTGAACAACATTCTGTGTGTTGTTGGTGACTCACAGGTCTGAGGTATTTTATGTGAGATGTACTTTGATTTTTCCATGGTCATGATATATGTTTTCCTAATAATATGTTGACTTTTTTTATTGAATGTTGACTGCAATTTTGCTCTGCTCTTTCCCCACTCAGAATTGCTCCTGCCCCAGGCCGACCCAAAAAAGGATTTAGAACTCAAACAAATGATGTATGATGCTCTGTGAGTGATTGTTACACTA